ACTAGTTTCTGGTTCTGAGAACCTAAAGGAGGGTAGAAATTGGTAGGTCGTTATGTAAGAATTCATAGCTACCCAGTGAATCCCAAAATGTATTATTAGTACTATATAAGGATTGAAACTTTAACCGTCTACGAAACGTGCTCCAGCTATTGTAGAAACTTCAAACCAATTCGACCAGATGCAGTATATCGAGAGCTTCAAAACAAGCTAAAGTAGGAAGTATTTGGATCACAGGAAGCCGGAATAGATTTGACAGTTGGGAAAATTTACTGTGTCACGTCATGAGTTAGTAGTTAATTAACAAATCGTAGATCGATTTTGCGAAACGTAGTACTGCGGAACTGTCGCTTCCGGATGCTACAATCGTCACAAAACATGAAGCAAATATAGCAACTCTAATGTCTATTAATTTGCTGATCTCGATTTGACTGAAAAAAAAATAAACCTATATGATAATTCAGTCTACAATTCACCCAATAATTCTCCTAGACAGATACGGGAGATATAATAGGACTCATCATTAGTGAGACTTTCCTTTCATATCTTCTATCATGATAATAATAACTCCATTACATTCACTGTATCCACAGTATTCATTATATTTATCATCCAAATCATCTAGCATTTCTTCTTCAGAATTATTGTTATGACTACAGTCACCATCATCATCTACCCTATCTGATTGCGAAGTAACCTCTTTATTTGTTTCTTTCACTGACCGAGGTATGAGATCATTATCAAAATATACATCTTCATAATCCTTAGCTGAAATTAAGGGTTTCATTTGCAACTCCGATGTCTCTTCCAAATCAGTAATAAGATATCTTGTTCTGAGCCGGCTCGATCATTAGCAAATTCTATATTAGGTTTTTTAGAGAAGTTATCTATAATTGTTTGAATCTGAGAATTAGTGAATTTTGATATAGTATCAGTACTATACATTTTGATATAATAAATCTTGTCCTCACCTATTTTATTGAATAAATTATTGATTTTTAAAGCTCTTTATGTTTGCTTACATAAGGTTTTACATTTGGTATTTGGAAAACGTTAACAATATAATCATATACTTGTCCCTTCACCTTTTTTCCCAAACTTTATTGCTGACCATATATTCCTTATACATGTTTTTAAATTCTCTTACATAGAAACACCAACGTAATGTTCTTCTCTATTGGCTTTGATTGCGTCTTTTTCAGCTTCATATGCATGTTGGTAAAAATTAATAATATCCTGTTTTAGCTGATCAATACTCGCTAAAATTTCAGTCACATGCGAATTGCCTTTCAGCTGTTTTTTATCCTCTTTTCTGGATGAAATCAATTCTCGAATCAACCCTTACTCACTTTTTTGCTGAGAAGCCTCTACTTCCATATCTGTCTCTTACATATATGAGAAAAGTGAAGCCGAATCACGCAGTTGTTTTTCTCTTTATTGCATTACCTTATCCCATCACTAACTCTTTTCTTATACTTATCGTTCAAAAAAGCATCTTCCACATTAGTATTATACTGCTCGGGCTGAGTTATAACAAATTCAGGTTCATTGGTAGATGTAACCTCTGGTATTACTATTTGCTTAAGTAAACAATCACTCATTTCTTCTGATACCTTCTGTTCACTCATGCTTAAAGAGATATTAGAGCTATTAAACTTGGAATGGGAGTTTGAATCATTCTTATAAGAATTATTTCCTTTTGGCGATAGCTGACTTATTTTTCTTTAGCTCCACTATTTCAGCATTAAGTTTTCCAATCTTGGTTATAAATTCTGCTATAGTATTATGAAACTTATTGATTCTAGCCTCAAACACCCGTTTTATCTCTAACTTCTCACTCTCAATCTCGCTAATCTTGGTTATAAGTCTAGCATTTTCTTGCCTAAGCGAATCAAGCTTGAATTCCATTTTTGTATTTCTTTGCACTGTATATAGATAAGCATTCAAAATAAAAAAAATCTCACGTAATTTTGGGCGATCTAAGGTCGTTGAAATTTTAGCAAGAAAAAAATGAAGAGACAGATGCTATGCATGGATCAGCAAATTCTTCTGAGCTAGTGATTACCACTTCAGACTAGTCAGAGTATCTTAAATGGAGAGGCACATTATTACTATAGACATTTTCACCTTCTGATTCAGTTTCATCCTTAAAGCTCGAATATTCAGACTCTGTTTCAGTGTATTCCGAATCATAATACTCACTTAGATCAATATTTCTCATAACTTTATGATGTTTGAAAAATTTGGTTAATATGACTTCTCCATCTGAATCTGTTGCAATAAATTCGGAAAATAATAGCTTGTAGAATGTGTAGAATGTATGCAATGAAAGAGGTAATTCCCAAAGATTTTTTCTACAGTGATATTGACTTTTTTCCCATTCTTGTTCTTTGATTTCTTTAGGTTTATTAACGTATCATGATGGGATTTGATGTCTGTCAACAGCATATCCTGTATGCATTAGCCATACAGTTCCTAAAACCAAATCATATTCAGGCTTGTCAACAACTACAAAATTTGCTGTATCTTTTCCAAAATATGAAGGGATTACTATATCATCAAATATATTTGGAAAACTAACTGAAACTTCTTCTCTATCAATCCATCCCCTTCTCATCACTTTCTTGCTAGCATTTGTTGCGCCAATGCCTAGATCTCTCACTGCAGGATATCCTGATCCATATTCTCTAGAAATAAATAAATCCATTTTTTGAGCAAGCGTCTTACTAATGCTACCATGGAAGGATTTGGGATTAATAAGTGCTTTAACAGTTACTTTAGCTCTAATGAATATACAATCCACTATTAATCTTTTGCGAATTTCTCGAATCACCTTATCTTTCCATATATTATTTATATTGCAACATTTTTTAAGATCCTGTATTGTGGCGTAAGCTAATCAAGTAAATTAACTGTATTCATTTTATATAATTCGGAGATTTTCAATCGAAAAAAATAAGACACAATCTGTGGCTCAGTAAAAAATCTTTCAAGCTGAAGATTGTATTCTAGACTCGAAAATTTTCACATTAAATATATTACTTTATTATAGCAATCATAACAAATAATAGTGAAACGCTTGCTCAGTTTTATGGAGTGCTTTTATATAAGAAGAAGGATATAGTAGCTATTCAGAAAAAACTCGGTATCAATAGCAATGCAAATAAATTAGTAGTTCCTCCAGATTCCGAGCTTATGGAAAAAACACTTGCTGATTCATATGAGCTGTTGTTAGAATTAGTAGGGGGTTTAATGCTGATACAGGAGAATCTCAACATTGATGGTAATCCTGTTCTAGAAGTGGAATATCAAAGTAATGAGGCTTCCACAGATATTTCATTAAAGGAGATATTTAATTTGCTTATGTATTTAGAAGAGGATATAATAGCAATTCAAGAAGAACTTAATATTATTGGCTATACTAATCAAGAAATAGCAGAAAAGGCTGATAAAATCGTAAGAGAATATCTTTGAAAGTTTGAAGAATATCATGGCCACTTAGAAGATGTTCCAAGTATATTAATACAAAAATTCATCGATAGAGGAGTAAAAATGTTTTATTTTACTAGAGAAGGGCTACCATTATTCCAAAAAGTCTCTCCTCAACAATTGCATGAAATATTTGTCAAAAATCTATCTAGTGTCGGCCAGTGCCAATGTCTAGAACAGGTTAGCTAATTTATATTTTTTTCTTACATAAAACATATTTAGATGCGAAAAAATCTTTCAAGCTAATGATCACTGCTCTGGATTAGTTAGATCAGTAGAGTTCCACAATCCTGCTTGACTGATTAGTATTCTATCAAAATAATTTCTCAGTGATCGTCTGTTTATAGCTATAATGGGGTGATCAGCACCAGAGTCAACTATTATAAATATATTGGAATTAGGTTGTTGGAATGACTGGTGAAACTGAGTTCTAATATTAGCAACTGGGGCTGTCTTGATATTAGCTTTATCATTCGCTCTATCTCAGCTCAAATATCATTCAGATCCTGGAAATTCTTGATATGGATATTTGGATTTAGCTGATCTACAGCTTCTTTACTAATATTATCACACCCTTCCAGATTAAAATATTTTAAATTAAAACATGATCTAGCAAATTTCTTTGATAGTTATATTGGTAATTTTCTAAAAGCTAAGGTTGAGTTGCTAGAGTCTTGAGCAAGAACGAATAACATTATAAATTGATGTTTCAGAAAACTCTGTGTGATAAGAAATATTTAGATATTCTAATTCACAATATGACTGTATAATTCTCCATAGACCTCCATCATCAACTTCTCGATCACGAAAACACCTAAAGCCACCTGACTGATCACTACACAGATTGAGATACTTCAGATTATTTAAATCAAATTAAATATTTGAATACTTGATTTGAATTTGATCAAATCAAATCAAAAATTAATTTAGATTTGATCAAATAAATTATTTTTTGATTTGAATTTAATCGAATTAAATCAAATATAAATTTTCGGGTATAAATCCGCTATCAGTTCTAATGCTCTATTACTAAATCCCATGCTATTTATGAAACTCAAATGGGTTATATTTAGGCATGAATGTACAATGCTTATGATTTTTTATCTAAAAGTGAATGGTAGTATGATATTTCGAGATGAGTTACATTTGAGCAATAAACTGGCATTTGCTTCCTACGTAATAGCTTTATGAATTTTTTCAATTGTAAGAGATCCTTTGTATATTCTATCCTTATGAATTTATAAATCAAGGACGATCTTTGCACAGTAATTATAATCATTTGGAAGAGATTGTCCAGGATATAAGTCTTTTCCCTTTAGCTTAATACACTTTCATAAGATAGGGATACCGCATTTGTATCACAATCAGAAAATATATAGAGTGAGATAAAGAGATTTATCTATTGCTAAAAATGTAAAATCTGTTCTAATAGTTCTGGTATAATAAAAATTCTTGATTGTACCATAAATAGTCTGTATTATATGTTATATTTTCAAATGAAAAAATAAAATAAATTAGTTAGTATGACTTTCTAACACTTCAAGTTTAACCAGTCTATCTATTAGTTCATCTAAAGGATGATTTAATCTACATAATCTTACTTCGAATTGATTTGCAGATGAGAGTCCACGAATAAATTGATTTTTATTCTGACCTTCATCCCATCTAGAAAGCTTTATATACTCCTTGTACTTCTTATAAAAATCTTCTACCGAATCATCGTCCTGCTCTAATCCCTATGGGTATCCTCATAGAGAATAAAAGCTGTTATCTAAGTATTCAACCAATTCATCGAAGGGTCTCTCAGTTCCAAATCTGATTGCGTCCTTTTTATTGCTGAGTGATAAACCATCAAAGAAAACCTTTTTAAGCTCTTCGCTCATTTTTTCTCATGAATTCGAAAAGAGAAAATCTATCTTAGACAGATTGACTATCTCCTGCTGATGCATTGCATCAAAGGAAGACTTATCTCTAAATCTTCCCATTATTACAATTAAGGATAAAATATCATATTTTAATTAAAATAAATCTCTAAGTTTATGATCATTACTCTAGACTATTGGAAAAATCAGTTATAGCTCGGATCTGACTATCAGATAATATCAAAATGTAATTTACTTCTTCAAATGAGATCGCAAAATTATCTTCTAATAATGGTTTTGAATGATATTATATATTATCACTCAGTCTGATTAGCTAATTCATCACAATAAACTGTTTAACCTTTCTTTGTCGTACTTTTCTTTGGTGCTTATGAGGAACGGTCTTTTTATCTCTTACCTGATTTATCTCAACTGAATCAGAATCTTCAGAAGACTTAGATAAATAAGAGAAACCTTACATTTTTTGATCTTTGGCGAGAAAGCTATTTCTTGTATTAAGTCGACCACAGTTTTCCTATCCACACATTTGTCTAGAACTTTTAATTCGTCTTTTAAGGATCTCACATCTTTCTCCAATCTTTTTACCCTCCTTTCTAAAGTGTTAGGTTAGGAATGATAATCTTCCAATTATTTTTTTAGTATTCTATTTTTAACGGAAAGTATACTATACATATTTGCATCTTATTTAGGTCTAAGTAATTTGGCTATTTTCTCTGTACGTCTGATAATTTCCTGCTTGATATCTGTACTATTAGATGAATGCTTTTGATCGGTTACCATTTTTGTGATATATTATATACACTATATCTTGCTTCAAACAAAAGAATAAATTAATAAATGATATCCCGATTCTCTAATCCATATACTGTATATGATTAGTTTTCATTGAAGAGTTTGAATGCCTTTGCCTAATAATACAGTTCTCCCTTTTTTATGCATATTGACTATAGTATAGTTTTGCGCTAGAGAGGCATGGTTGTCTGGCAAATGTCGAAGGGCTTGGCTGGTAATAGTCATAGCTCTGATAAATTCTTCGCACTATTTGAAATGATCACAAATACTGCTCCTAATTTGCGCAAATAGCTAGGAAAGAGTGGTTTACCAGTTTCAGGGAGAAATCTATCCTTTTTCAGAATTTATTAAACCATTTAACTCCTTGTACTCCTGGATCCCTCAACTGTCTGAAAGATATTGCTTCCTGAATCCATGTAAGGAGAAGTTTAGCCTGTATTTTATTTTTTTCTAATAATTTAAACACCTGAGGATTATCCTGCTGATCTCGGTTTTTTGAATATCCAGTTACACTTCCATTAGAAATACGCAAGTCTTTAATTTCAGCAGGATGGATACAGAGTATTATCATTACATCAGCTAGGGCTTGCATATCAGATGTGTTAGACACATTATACCTATCTAATCTTTCCTTAACTGATTCTAGCAAGAAGTGGTCAAGAAAATTGATTTCTTCATTTTCACGTTGCTCCTACACTCCTTTTGAATTTTATTAGATGAATAGGTTATTTCTAAAATCAATGTAGCTGAGACAATTTTTTCGGAGGCTTCAAGGTTTCGCAACTCACTTTGAAGCCTAGAGATTCGGGATGAACCAGCGCTAGTATTAGAGACAGATTCAGCTAAGGCTTTAGCTATAGATACTACAGTCAAACCTTGATATAGCGAACCCTTGATATAGCGAATTTTTAAATCAAATATATTAAAATTACCTTTATTATAGTGAACTAGCTAATTAAATTCTTTAAAAAATTTGTTATAAGCTTATAACGAAGTTAATATCCAGATCCTAGAATTCGTTATATCAAGAGTTCACTGTACATCTTTTTCGCTAAGATTATCCTGGGTAATTCGCTAAGCTATCATTTTAACAGTTTCTCTGTCTGAGATTATATCAGATATTTAGCATATATTAACTTTCCCCGCTTCATCCCCTCCTTCTTTGGGAATTACTCGACTTCTATTTCAACAAATTCTCTGATCAAAAACTAATATAAATGCCTGCTCTTTACTAAAATTATACCTTTTTTGAAAGCACTGTCGACCCTTATTTCTTTTCACTTTATTTGTCAAAAACTCGAGTAATGCTGAAGCATGCTGGTTAAGTTCATCATTGCTCATCTCTTTATTGAGTTTATGCTCTGCAACGTACTTGTTACAATCATGGACATTATAATGTAGATATGAAATAACTATTAGATTATGTGTAACTGTTAGGTTATACTACACATAAAAAAGTTCAATTCAAAAAATATTTTCAAGCGAACAAAAAATGATAATTCAGAATTTTATATCACTTAGTTGTAAAGAACAAATAGACCCTCTTATCCAAACACCTTACCTATAAACTGGTTTCTTACTCGCTCTTTACTAAAGCATACCATTCTTCTGGAATATGCTTATATTTTTTTGCCATTCCTTATTATCGTAAATATACTTCTGGGGTTTTTCCACATCCTCAAACTCCCAGAGATATATTTCTTCGCTTATTAACCTTTCCCTTCTAGTCATATAAAATAAATCATTTGGATTTATTTTATTTTCTCTAGCAAATTCGATGATTTCTGCATCTGCCATCATCCTATCTCGATACTCCTGAGATAAGTTGACGTCTTTTTCTGTAATCATTATAAACTTATCAGGGTCTTTATCATGATTGATAGCCTATTTTCTGAGACGCTCTTCTTACTGGATTCTTGTAGATAATATTTCATTATTACTGGATTTGGATGCTTTCAACACATTACTGATACGCTTCATAGGCTTGGAAGGTTTGCTAGTTTCAGGTTTATTGATTACTGGCTTAGATGGTTCAGAAGCCTTAGTAGTTTCAGATGTTCCAGATGTTGAGGTGATTGGAGCTTCAGTTTTTTCTATTTTTCGGGGAATAATTTCTGGCACATTGAATATGGATATGTCTGTAGGCTCATTTTCAGGTAAGTCAGATTGAGATGTATCTTCAGAAAATCCTTCTATATTGCTTAGGTCAGATTCACGAAGCTTGGCTATGATCTTGGAGTGGTCGAGAATGTAATGATATTCTCTTTTTCCATTATTCTGCAAACGTGTTCTATCAATACTAATTTGTGAAACCTTCTTTTTGAGAATAGCATTGCTAAATGGTTTCTTCCCATTTCCTCCACACCATTCAAGATATTCTTGATATAATTCCTTACAGTTCAGTTTATCAATCCTTTCTTTAGTCCATAAGAAAACATAATTGATTATGAATCGAATGGGATTAGGGAGTTAGTTTCGCATTGTTTCTACTCTCATTTTTGTATTAGAGATATTTTGCGGTATCCAATCTGAGAGGTCTCGCTTTAATAAATAATTCATGAAAATACCAGGCATTTTTTGATTATCTAAAATTTTTCCAAGTCATTTAAAATAATCCATATTTCCTTTACAGCGAGGTGATATATCCAAGCATACTTACTATACGTCCATCACCCATCTCAATACGAAATGGTGCATCATGATTACTTAAAACTATATAGCCACAAAGTCTTTAATTGTTTTAGGTTCAAGACCTTTACACTCTATTGTTACATACGGTTCAGTAATAAGTGATTTTAAGTGATCATTTGCCTTATGCTATTCCCCAGAAGCCATCCCAGCTTCATTTAAAAGAATGAGTTTTCGTGCCTGTATATAACTATTAAATTTTTCTAATACTTTTCTAAGATCAGATGTTGCAAAGAATAATTCTAGCCCCAATATTTTCTTTCTAATAAAATCTGTTAAGATATTTTTCCAGAGCATGGAGAAGAACGTAATACTAAAACAGTATAGTGCATAACATCTATAGTCATCAAATAGTCCGAAATTTTTGAACAATGGTCATCACGTGACATTAACATGAAAGTTAATATTATTGGTTAATACTCACGTGATACAATCATGTGATTCAAATCTTATTGGATCAAAAAAAACTTTTTATTAAGAAATGCAACAAATTAATTCTTTAATTCTTCAAAAATAGTGTCTGGAATTCTTCTATGGGATTTGTACTTTTTAACGGCATATTCTGCCAATTTTCCACTAATCCCTTTTCTATAAGCATCCATGTAACGGCAACATTTCCTTGCAAATTTTCTAATCATAATTAAAGGTACAGAGTTAAGACTTTTGGGTGCAACTTTTTGTAATCTACTCCAAGAATAATCGCAATTCTCTTGTGCATATTTTTTAGAAACTCTCCAATATCTTTCAATAAAGTTTAACTCACAGTGAAATTTCAGATAAAATATGCATTTATGTCCGGCTTCTGTGATTAATTCTTCAATTGCTCCCTTTTGTACAAGAAAATCGGGTTCTAAGGATATTACCCGACGAGCACAACAAGAAATTCTTGAACTATCTTTAATCCTTTCTTTACAGTCCTTACACTCTAATATTAATCCTTCAGGTGGCCATTTTCCTCGTTCCATTAATACCTGCTTGATTCCTTTAGGCTGACCTCGAAGTTTTTCATTGGAATGTGAAGTTGGAAATACCATTGATTGTGGCTGGCAGTCTGGTCCAAAATAAGTGTTATGCATAATAGGTTGTTTACCACCTGGCTTTAAATTCATTTTACTTGCAACTAAAGCATTCTTACTAAATACAGCATGATTAGAGCTATTGTCAAAAGCAAATACCGTAATACAATTTGGATACAAAGTTTCAAAAATAGGTATTGCTTTGTGTTTAATTTGTTCAAGAAAATGTTCAGCAGTCCAATATCCTTCTTGATTTTTACCAGGTTTGAGAAAACATCGTGCTTCCTTAGGTACATTTGGATATTTCTCTATATCATTTAATTGTAGACATAAACATCCATCGACTTCAGTTAGAAATTCATTAACCATTATGGATCTTCCATTTCCTTTTTTTCATAGAGACAATTCTCCATTTTTAGCCCATACTTCACGTTTACCATCATTAGAATAGAAGATACATTCATCATGAGTTACAAGAATTTGTTCCTTCTTTTCTTCAGGTAA